CCAGTGAGATGTTGTTCTAAATTGGGGCTTAAGTAGCACACGCAGAAGGGCTAGTTTGGAGAAACTGGGTCGTTAAAGAATTCGCTCCGTCCTCTTCTGGACTGGAGGTGTTTTTTGTGGATTTTTTTTTAATATTAAACAGACGATGTTGTTGTCGGACATCATTTTGTGAAACTGAAAACTCTGCCCGTGACTCAGTGATGATGAGGAGGTCTGATGTTGTCGTCATCGGTTGAGTTGGATTTTAAAAGGTGTCGTGTTTCCTGTATGACACTTAAGACACATATGTCAAACTCACGGCTCGTGGGCCAATTCCTGCCCGCCTCATCATTTTATGTGGCCCACCAGACTTTAAAATGTGATTTGTTTTTGGGTTTGTAATGCTTAAGCCATATACTGTATGTCAAACTCAAGGCTTGTGGGTCAATTTGTGGCCCACCTCGTCATTTTATGTGGCCCACCCAATAGTGGTTCTGAAAGTAAAAGTCTAAAATATGGAGTCCATACCAATGTTCACTGTATGGGTTGAATGCAGTGGTAAAATATGGCCTGCTAATCTATAATTCCAATCCTATTCAGAGTAGATGAATGGGTGGAGGGTGGGGGTGACCTTCAGGGTGAGGAGGAGAGGGGGGAGGGGGCGGCAGCCCCAGAGGGAGCGGGGGCAGCAGCAGCAGCCGCAGCAGCAGCGTCACCTCATCAACCCTGTCTCTGTGACTCCAGTTTGGCTAACGAGCTACTGAAGCTACTGAAAAGATCGAAGTGGATGAACCTTAAAAAGACGGAACCCAAACGTGACCACGTCCGACTCCTCCTGGAGGCGTTGAATTCCAGTTGAATTTGTAAACTCTGTCCTACAGATGTGTTGTAAACTCAGTCCATGGCAGTGACACACACACACACACAGAGGAGAGGACGGATGGAAACGTGGCGTGGAACCGGCGTGTGTGTAGGATGGGTGTAAACAGACCTGCAGCTCAGATTCAGCAGCTACGTCGCCCGTGGAAAGCACAGTTGGTGTTTGATATATTCAGTAGACGGGTGGTGTGTGTTTGGATCTGAGGAAGAGGAGGAGGAGGAGCCATGACTTTTGATGATCTCTCCCCCCTCTCTCCCCCTCTCTCTCCCCCTCTCTCTCCCTCTCTCTCCCCCTCTCTCGCCCCTCTCGCCCCCTCTCTCTCCCCCTCTCTCTTCCCCTCTCTCTCCCCTCAGATGCGCTGCTATGATGACTGTGCAGCAGGTGCCATAAACTCTCATGGTTATGCAGTAATACATTATACCAGTAGTATTGTGTAATATTACGACACACAGAAATCATGCAGTACTACGCAGGCTGAAGCCGTTCAGTGACGTGACGTGGCGTGGCGTGACGCTGCATCGAACGTTTTTTACACGTGAACGTCATATTTGTGGGCGGCAGCGGCGACGGCGGCGATGACGGAGCGGGTAGTCGTAGATTTGGGAATCTTATTGTGCATTTGGACTTTGTCTTTGTAAACGAGTCTCCACTTTGTCCAAGATCCCGTCCTTGGTTTTTTGCGCTCGCTGAGTGGAATCATAAGAGGGGTGAGGTCAAAGGTCAGGGGGAGAAGTGTGTGGTGTGCTTGGGATCCAGAGGAGGACGTCCGTCCACACACACGGGGGAGAGACTTTCCTTCCACAGTTCTTCTCCCACTCAGTGAGTCCTTCTCCGTGGGGGAGACAAAGAAGTAGGTGGTGGAGGAGGAGGAAGAGGAGGAGGAGGAAGAGGAGGAGGAGGAGGAGGTGCTGTTACTGCTCCACCTGAAGACTATCAGTCTTACTGCTGGCTGCACCGAAGCTGTTCACCTCCTCAAACACCAACTCTACACAGACCAAGATGAGGAGAAGGAACAAAAAAGTTACTGCACGATACAACCGTTCACACCGCCGTTCACACCGCCGTTCACACCGACGTTCACACCGACGTTCACACCGGCGTTCACACAGACGTTCACGCAACCGTTCACACTGATGTTCACACTGACGTTCACACCGACTTTCACGCCGACGTTCACGCCGACGTTCACGCTGACGTTCACACCGACGTTCACACCGACGTTCACACTAACGTTCACACTGACTTTCACACTGACGTTCACACTAACGTTCACACTAACGTTCACACTGACGTTCACACTGACGGTCACACTGACGGTCACACCGACGTTCACACCGTTCACACCGACGTTCACACCGACGTTCACACCGTGATCTTCCCTGTTACCTTTCCACTCCGCACGTTCACACCGACGGTCACACCGACGTTCACACCGACGTTCACACCGACGTTCACACCGACGTTCACACCGACGTTTACACCGACGCTCACAGACGTTCACACCGACGTTTACACCGACGTTCACACCGACGTTCACCCCGACGTTCACACCGACGTTCACACCGTCGTTCACACCGACGTTCACACCGACGCTCACACTGACGTTCACACCGACGTTCACACCGTGATCTTCCCTGTTACCTTTCCGCTCCGCCCGTTCACACCGACGGTCACACCGACTTTCACACCGACGTTCACACCGACGTTCACCCCGACGTTCACACCGACGTTCACGCCGACGTTCACACTAACGTTCACACCGACGTTCACACTGACGTTCACACCGTGACCTTCCCTCTTACCTTTCCACTCCTCTAGACTGCGGTCTTTGCTCTCCAGAGTCTGGTCGTAGGGCGGAGCCTCCGGCTCATCCTCTGGGTCGTGGTACTGGGAGAAGTACGGGTGAGAGAGAGCCTCGCAGGCCGAGATCCTGCCGTCGCAGTCCAGAACCAGCATCCGCTTTAGAAGGTCAACGGCTGACGGAGAAAACGAATCCACGAGTTAATGAATTCATGAACAGATTCGTTCATTAGGCTGAACCCACCTAGAGGATTGGCTCCTCTGAAGATCTTCTCCAGGTCCTGCTGGGGCATGAAGGGCAGAGACTGGATGTACTTCTGTGCCTGAGGGCAGAGACCAGTGTTTACCAGGTGGTACCAGGTACTGAATCACACAGTGTACCACATGACCCGGCCCATACTGTAGTATCCTCCACTCTTGACATGTTGACTGGCCGATACAGTTCAGTACAGTACAGTATAGTACAGTACAGCACAGTACAATATAGTACAGTACAGTACAGTATAGTACAGTACAGTTCAGTACAGTACAGTACAGTACGGTACGGTACAGTACAGTATAGTACAGTTCAGTACAGTTCACTTCAGTACAGTACTGTACGGTACAGTACAGTTCAGTACGGTACAGTACAGTACAGTACGGTACAGTACAGTACAGTACTCTGGTTAGTACGTAGTAATCCAGTGATGCTACGAAGAAAAAGCTGATCCTTTAAAAACCAGTGGCCATTTTGACGTATTACATCCCAGTAGTACTGGACAATATGAGGTACATTATTCCTCACTACATGTTTGGAGCAGATGTTGAAGTAGTATTATTAGTAGTAGTAGCAGTAGTATTATTATTAGTAGTAGCAGTAGTATAAATTATCATAGTCATTGCAGTAGGTAGAAACTGATAAGTAGTAGTACTTGTAGTATTATTATTAGTAGTAGACATAGTGGTAGTAGTAGTAGAAGTAGAAGTAGTAGTTGTAGTAGTAAAGGTAGTAGTGGTAATAGTATTAGTAGTAGTATGTGCTAGTGGTCAGTAGTACTAGTTGAAGTTTCTCGCTGTAGTACAACTACTATATGTAACCGTGGTATTATTTGATGTAGTTAGAGAGTTATAACAGTAACAGAAATACTACAAGTTGTAGTAACTGGTATTTGTTAATTGGCAGTAGACCAGGTTGGCCCACGCGGGTCCTCCCTACATGTTCAGAGCAGATCTTCTTTAACAGGTCGGGGGTCGGAGTCCCAACCACCTCCATGATTCTCTTCAGTTGATCGATATCTGAGCGAGTCACGGAGTCAAGGACCAATCAGGATTTACCGTCACTAGAACACAATCATAACAAACAAACATCTGCTCTTTGGATTTGAACGATGCAGCGCCCCCTTCAGGAGAGACCTGGGGAGGGGTCCGATGGAGGATACAGTCAGTGCCAGGGAAGAGGACCTTCCCCTTCAGGAGTTCTCCCATGATGCACCCCACCGACCAAATATCAACTGAACCAAAAAACAAAACATGTCAGAGAGAAAGTGTGAGTAAGTCAATGAGTTAGGTGTACAGACAGTACATAACTGAGTCTTAGTACGCGACAGATAACACACACCGTGCCACCTCTCCTTTTATGTGGTAGCTGATACCATCGTATCCACGGGTGAAATCCTTTATTTGTTTGGCAATACTGTTTTCTAGTGCACCCCTGTCCCGGGGCAGTATGTCAACTGTTTGGCTGGTTCCACTGGTCCAAGCGTGAAACAAGGCTAGCAGCGCACTCATACAGAAAATAATCAGTCCTAAACACTTCTTTTTGGTTTTCAGCATCTGAAAAAAAAAAAACAAAACAGAATTTAAAATCATTTCTGAACGTATTCTTTGTCTCTGCAGAGGTCAAAGGTCACGCGGTCCTGGACGGACCCTCACCGTTCTGATTGTAGTGCATCCAGTTCAGCATGATCTCCGGCGCCCGGTACCAACGAGTCGCCACGTAGCCCGTCATCTCATCGTTGGTCTGCCGGGCCAGGCCGAAGTCCAGGATCTGGAGGAGGGAGAGTACTGGGAGTACTGCGATGGTGAAGTACTGACAGCAGTACACACACACACACACACACGACAGCTGTAATCTTACCCTCAGCTCACAGTCTTCATTTACTGCCACATTACTGGGCTTCAGGTCCTGGAAACAGGAGAAGAAGACAGAGTAGGACAAAATACTACACAGGAATACTACACAAGAATACTACACGGGTATTTCGGGAGTCTCCAACAGTTTTAACGTCATTTCTTCGAGCTACGACGTAGTGTAAAATTCTTACAAATCAGCCAGACCTTGAACATGTTGGCAGGAAACAGGAAGTACTCACTCTGTGTATGAGTCCAGCTGAATGGATGTACTGTCAGGTACAGTCGGCCGAGGTGGGGGGGCAGGCGGGGGGGGGCGGCAAAATGTCGGAACAGGAGAGAGGAAATAAGGATTAGTCCTGGACGTGGACTTCACTAGCGCTTTAGCTACAACTTGTTTCCGTCTGTTTATTTAATATAAACATGGAAACACAAAAAAATCTCTTTGTGTTTCATTAGCATATGCTGCTAATACTGCAGTATTTCTGGGTCAAAGTCTGGGCCCAAAATCTGGCAGTGAGCTAACAGCTAAGCTATTAGCTTAGCTCTTTTAGCTACTGTATTTACAGTATTTGTGTGCTATTAGCTTAGCTCTTTTAGCTACTGTGTTTATTTGTGATCTTTTATTTATAATCTACTTTATTTTCCACTACAATTAATTTTCTTTTTAACAATTACTATCTTTTTATAGTGATAAATATTAAATTGAATATTTCAGTAAAGTAGAATACTGCAACTGAATATTTGTGAAGCCTGTTAAAACTTCGAACCGTGAGTAAACTGAAATAACAAGAACAGTAATGATATTAAGTCATAATACTTGACATGTATTTTACAGTATTGCACCTCGACACTGCAGATATCCCCACAGCTGTGAGGTGGAGTACATGAAGTACAAAAGTACACACAGTACAGAGGAAGTCGTCCCGTTACAAAATCAACCCCTGTTTTGAAACTTCAGGGTGTTCAAATAACAAACACCACGCAGGCTGTTTCCAAACGGAGTGGCTGTGAAACCCACTCTGTGTGGCCCAGTTTCATCATCGCCCACTGTCATGATCACATGACTTCCTTAAACTGAAACACCAATCAGCAACATGGACGTCCAGTGTAGAAAAAAGTCATTTTTTTCAGCCTGGTCTCTAAACTTTCATTCGATGACTATGATCATTTCTTATATTTATATTATTATATAAAATATATATTGTGTGTATTTCATCAACTGGCGGTCCACGGACCGAATCTGGACCACAGAACCATCCAAACCGGCCCATGAGAGGATTCTAAAATAAACAATATATAATAATCTTTTTTTTTTCATTCTATTTGAGTGATCGACCTTTGAGGTCCAGAAAATCTTTTTTTTTTCATTCTATTTGAGTGGTCGACCTTTGAACTCTGACCCTGGACAAATATAGTTGGTGAACCCTTATATTTATCACTATATACAAATCTGAAAATCAGATTACGCCACCCGCAGATCCAAAATGGTTACTGCAGTATTGTTGCTAAAAAAAAATCTAATTATTTCTTAGACAACAAAGCAAAACTATTTCCATAAAATTTGATGAAAGAACGATACAATAATAAATTAAAAGTCTTTAGAACAACAATATGATCAAGGACATTTTTTAGGAAATCACCTTCAGGCCACGGAGCAGCTGATAAATTAGGAACTGCACGTGTTCGTCGGAAAGCCTCTGAAATTTAACGATGTTGTTGAGGTCTGCGCCCATCAGGTTGGTCACCAGGTAGCTGGAAAACAAGACAGATGGTATGTATTGAGGTGGGGGGGGGGGGCACATGATGACATTGCCATGACAACTGACAGACGTGGCTGTGAGCCTCTAACGCCCAGACTTTAGTCTTTCCTCCACCTTCGTGCCCTTTCACAATAAAAGCCCTCAGCCGTGCAGCAGCTCAGAACGTCTTACAGTTCATTGAAGTCCTCCAACGCTGCAGCAGGTGTGAAGACATCCAGCAGCCCTATCACCTGCAGAGACGCAGACGAGTAGAGCCGATCAATACCAGAGCGGAGCCGCGCAGAGAGCAGCAGCAGCAGCAGCAGTGGCAGCAGCAGCAGCAGCTTCCATCTGTCTCTGGATATTTTTACATCACAGCACTCACATTCTCGTGTTTCATGTGCTTGAGCAGCCTGAGTTCCCGGTACGAGCGGCGGCTGTGGATCAGAGACTGAAACGGCCTGGAGAGCTTCTTCACCGCAACCTTCTGCCTCAGGACCACATCATAGGCCGAGCTGCACAGAGGAGGAGACGAAGAGACGACGAACCTGTGTCAACGTCAGACTTGTGGTTTAGACAGTGATAGGAATGTTCTGAGTCAGAAGTCAAAGACAAACCAAAACAAATGTAAAACAATAGATGAAAAATAACAATACAAATACATATTTTCTGTACTCATTCAGTCATAAAAACATATAAATATATATGTGTATATATTTACATGTTTGTGTGTACAGATATGTGTAAATATGTATAGACATACAAATAGATGTCTTTATATTATATTATTATATGTATAATAATATAATATATTTTATAATATATTTATAAAATACGTCTATATATTTATGTACTATACATATGCACACAATATATGTTTTTGATTGCATGTTCCTATTGTATTATCATCTCTAGTGTAACCACTACAATATATATATAAATATATATAAATATATTTTAAAATATATATATACATATATATTTATTCCTCACTAGAATATTGTATGTATATTTGTCAGGTCTGTCTTTTTGTCACTTTTTAAAACACAAAAACACCAGCGAGGCGACATAGAGCGAAACCGACAAACAGGAAGGAAGTGAAAGAGGAAATTAAGCAATGTAACAGTGAGAAGGAAAAAAAAACAAACCACCCCACACTTCACCCCTGCTGCCCGTCCAGATGCCCCCTCTGGTCTGCAGCCAGTCTGACATCAACCAGGCCTCGCTGCCTCTCACATACCATGGTCCTCGCCACCTTCCCTACATGGCGTGATAGTGCGGCGTCTCAGCACAGACGCCACGCGCCTCAGCCAGGGCATCGATCTCATTTTGTTTTTTCTGCAGGATTTTGTGTCTTAATGCAGGTTCAAGTTTCCAGTACTCTCTAGTACTCATGTACATAGTAGGATGATTTATACTCTGTTTGGATTTGGATTTGAACAAAGTGTATTTGAGGTGAACGGGGAGGAGGGATAGAGGAGGGGCTTCTCTAGAACCCTCTGTGTTTTCCAGTCACTGACAACGACACAAAGAAACAAAACGACTACGTACTTTACTGTGTATTATTATTTATTACTACTGATTATTATTTATGTATTTTTGTATTTGGTGTGTTTACTGTAGCCTGGTTGTTGATTGAATGACTCAAACTGTAAGTCGCTTTGGATAAAAGCATCTGCTAAATGTATTGTAATGTAATGTAATATATTATATATATTTATATAAATATATAATATTTAAGTCTTACATATACTATGTCATTATTATTATTTTGTATTACACACTTTTCATTTCGGTTATTGTTACATAATTCCTTGTGTGCGACCCAGCTCACAAATGATCCGCGGCTCGGTACTGGTCTGCGACCCAGTGGTTTAGATCCCCTGAGTTAAAAGGCAAAGAGAAATTCTAGATGATGTTGTGAAGTGTTAGCCTCGTGGTTGAAACATTTGTCCAGAACACAAATTCCGTTGAGCATATATATGTGCATATATGTGTGTATATATACGTATATATACACATATACACACATATATACACACATATATATACACATATATACACATATATATACACATATATACACATATATATACACATATATACACACATATATACACGTATATATACACATATATATATGTGTGTATATGTGTGTATATATACTGTATGTGTATATGTGTGTTTATATGTGTGTATATATACGTATATATACACACATATATACACACATGTATACACACATATATGCACATGTATCCACACATATATACACATACATGCACATGTATACACACATATATACACACATGTATACACACATATATACACATATATACACATATATATACACACATATATATATGTGTGTATATGTGTGTGTATATGTGTGTGTATATGTGTGTGTATATGTGTGTATATGTGTGTATATATGCACAAAAGGAAATACATCTGATTCTATTTCCTGTGCAGAAGAGGCCGCAACTCTTATCTGTTTATCTACAACTGTACCAGGGTCACGACCTTGTCGTCATTAGCAACACACTCCGACCTATAACAACTATTCAAATATATAACATATTCATATTTAATGGGGAAAAAAATACATTTTTTATTTCCTCTATTTCTTGCCTCCATCCCTCCTATCCTTCCTACCCCGTCACTTCATCCTAACACCTCGACTCCAGTGCTCCAGAATGGTGTCCCTGTGACCCAGTTACTGTTTTTGCCCCTCGGCTGCCACTTCCTGTTGCCTCCACCTTCACCCAGCTGCTCCGTGAGAGTCGAGGTTTGGCTCCGTCTCGTGTTTCGTCTGCCTTTAAATCACCTGTCTGTGAATCTGAGTGAAAAACCAGGACAAACTCCTGACTGTTCTCACTGCCTCTGCCAGGAGTGTGTTTTCAGGTCATCCATCTTTGTGTTATTGTCTATCCCAGGGGTGTCAAACATACGGCCCGCGGGCCAAAACCGACCCGTTTGAATGTTTCAATCCGGTCCGATTTAAGAATTTAGAAAATAAAGAAACACACCATACCCTTCATGTTCAGGAAACTTTTTGTAAAATATTTTTTTACTAAATAGGAAGATTTATCTCATTTATTTTTTTGCATGAAAACAAAGGGGACAAAGACAGAAAAGAACATAATCAGTAATTATTTTGTGATTGTTCTGGTCCGGCCCACTTGACATCTAAGTAGGATGTATGTTGGAGTTTGACACCAGTGTATCTGTGTATCTGTGTCCAGTCTGATTTAAAGCCAGTCCATTCAGTCTCAACACAAAGAAGTCAACAATCCAGGGACTTCCTGTCCGACTGACGACCACTTGAACTGACTCTGTACTTCACTTCCTGTTCCTGTTCCTCCCTCGCCGCGGTGCCGAGGACTTTCACTTTCGTGGATCTGACGCACCAACTGCTCTGACCCTTGATTTGACGACGGACAAACTCTTTTTAGCGCACATCTCCAGACCAGACCCTGCCCTCCCCCACCCCCACCCCTCACCCCC